TTTTTGATATGCAAGGCTTTTTTTGACATCTTACTGTCTAGATTTGTGTTGTACTCCAAGATCCTCACTCCTGTGTCAAAGGCCAGTACAGAGACTCCATAGTTTTTAGGGTTCCTAGTCCAGGAGCTCAGTGACCTGTGGTACCTGCAGCACCTCTCCGAGCCACCAGGCTCTCCCTGCCCTGTGGGAAGGTCAGGGACAAGGGGCAGTGCAATGCTCCTGCTGCCCATTGCGTTCCAGAGGGATTTTGCACCTCACTGGCTCCTGCTGCAGTCTTCCCTGCTGAGGGAAATGTGAACTGACACGGCAGAGGCCTAAATCAACATGCACCTCATTAAACAAAACACAGCCTAATCCTGCTGTTGTTCTTGAGATCAGGAAAAACAGAAGAAAGTATCTATGTTAATATTAATGACCAGCCCTCCATTTTCCCCTGTGCTAATACACAGTGTCAGATCCCCCCACTGGGGAATGTGGGGATCAGCTCCTCTGGCGCCCAGCTGCCCTCTGTGCTGCTCTTCCCCACGTTCATTAGCAGTGCATCATTGGAACTGAGCAGCACTTCACCCTCCTGGTAAAACAAGGCAGCCTGAGTACCAGGAGCTGGCTGGGTAATGAGTCTTGGCCATCATTTACAGTTTGTTTGGGTGTGAGGTGCATCAGAGCACAGCAGCACAGGATCAGCCAAGGAGATCCTGCTGAGGTACCACTTGCTTGGCCCTGCTCTCCCCTGTCTGGACACCACGTGCTCTTGACTTTGTGCCAAGTGTAGGTACATCCATGCCTTTAACTCCTACCCAGGAAGCAGGTTAACACTATCAAAAGAAAAATCAAGTTGAGGCATTAATCAGCATTATTCTCTTCTTAGAGCAGTTTGAAAATATTTGGAACCGTTCTTCCAATAGGAAAAAAGCCTATTTGATTAAAAATCCGTATTTTTCCCAAATGGCACAGTTTCCTGTGAGAGGAAAGCTCTGCATTCCAGCCCACCCTAATCCTTTCCTTCTTTCTGTGTTATAACTAAGAGACTCTCCCTTTCCTATTGCCTCCTTTGTCACGAAGAGCTTGTATGTCCTCTTCAGAAAAATCCCTTTGTTATTCCCTGTATATCTCTAAGTCCCATTACATTTGCCTTCCACACAGCTGCACAAACCTGCTCCAGCTGCATCCCAGCCCTGGCCTCTAGCTTTATATTCAGAAGCTGTTATGCAAGACACACCCCTTGCCCCCCCAACAGCAAGTACTTGTTTACTAGACTGATAAAAATTGGATTTTTAAAAGAGAGATAAAACACATCAGTTTTATGAAAGAATTTAATGTGTTCAGGTGTCCCAGTGCTTGGAGAAAGATTTGCTGGGGAGCCCTCAGAGCCCTTTCTGTAGGCACCAAAACTTCCTTCTTTCCACAGTTTCAAAGCATCACTCCCAAAGCAAAGTAGACATTTTCTGAAAATGAGCTGTGAATATGCACAAAGGGCGTTTAAACAAGCAGCTACAGATCCACAGCCAATTCACTAAAGGTACAGCTCATGGTGGGAAGTTAACAGCTCTGTGGAGAAGTTTTCTTTTGGTTTTCCATATTCTACAACCTTCAGTAAGCAGCTGATACAGTGACCAGTGACCAGTCAGAATTAAGAAAATAACAGCCTTATAAATCCTTATCAGCCCCTCAATACCAGTGTTTCAGGGCCTCACCTCAGTAGCACACTGCCATATTTTACCTGCCATGTTTTGGCAGATAAAACCTCTCCAGTTTGGTAGTGAAACCAGCAGGCAGCTTTTACTCTGCTATTTTGATTACAAATAGCAGGATGCCACACAGATATTTTTGCCAGATGTCCAAGCAAGCTGAATAAATAATTTCTGTGCTTCAACTGTAACCACTAGGCTCCAGGCAGTTTGGTAAATAACAGGCATTTATTCAATAGCTCTCAGCAAGGAAGTGGAGGCTGAGCTTTGCTTTTCAGGTTCTTGAGAGGTATTCACAGGTACCTGTGGACACATCCCCACATCATCCAGAGTCCTCATCTACAGATAAATACATGCAATATCATTCTACAGAAATTCAGCTTGAATACTCCAGGGTTTGGAGACCTCAACAAAGCTAAGTTACAGTGAACAAGTGTTTGATATTCTCCCAGAGAGAAGACTGCAAATCCTGGTGAGTCATTAGCTATATTAGTTTATCAAGGCTATCACTCAGAAACAGCTCATTGCATAGGCACAGCTGATTAAAGAAGGAAAACATTTCAGCAAATGGTCTTACCTGTGCTGGTTTGCCCAATGCTTTTGATAATTGTTGGGTGAGCTCCCCTGCAAAAGATTCTGGGACTTTATCCTTGCTTATATTTGTGTTAACAATGAATTTAGGCATCTTTGGATCACAAGCAGGTTTTTTTTCAGCTCACCTTGTTCTCAGCTTTATTTCTAACTCACCACAAGCTGGCCCAGCCCACTGTGCCAGTGAGCACCTCAGGAGCCTCTGAACAGTCGGTGACACCTCCAGCAGGTGCATTGGGAGGGTGGCAGTGGCCCAGGAGGGGAGGCTGCCTGTGCCATCTGCAGCTGCTCACACAGCCTGGGAGGGAGCCCAGCTCTGCACTCTGCAAACCAAAGCATCCAAAGGGACCCCTCGTGTCTGGAGACAGCCCAGTTGTCACAGACATCTTTTATGAAAAATCCTTTCCTTAGGATTTTTTCTCCTGAGAAGGTGAGAGGTCTCAGGAACAAAATGCAAACATTGATTATCTGCTGCTGTGGAATGCAACAGGTGCATCTGGGATTGGCCTATGTTGGTTGTTTGTAATTAATGGCCAATCACAGTCAGCTGGCTCAGACTCTCTGTCCCAGCCACAAGCCTTTGTTATCATTCTTTCTTTTTCTATTCTTACCTAGCCTTCTGATGAAATCTTTTCTTCTATTCTTTTAGTATAGTTTTAATATAATATATAACATAAAATAATAAATCAGCCTTCTGAAACATGGAGTCAGATCCTCATCTCTTCCCTCATCCTCAGACCCCTGTGACCACTGTCACACCCAGTCATTAAACCAATGGAATATCAAATGTTTCAGAGGCTGAGTGCAGGTTGTAATGCACCTCTTTATGCAAGCTAGTAATTGTTTCTTAAAAATTGGATGAATAATTCAACTGTGAGGTCTGAAACTCTCTCTGTGGAACAGACCATAACAAACCCCCCCAGTGACACATGTTGTGCAGACCTTTCCTGAACCATGACTAAGTCACCACAAAGATGCCTTAAAATCAAAATCTTGATTTTCCAGTGTGGTGATGCATTCTACATGCTCAGAGAAGACTTGTTTTCAACTTGCTCCTTTGTTGTGCAAATAGTTCCATAACAGTCCCAACTCCTGAGAGAAAGGAAATCCACAGGAGCAGCTTTTATCCAGGCTGGAGGAGCACAGGGCAAGGCTGGGATCCGTTCTCACTGCCTGGAACAGCTTTACATGAAAGAAGAGATTTAGAGGGATCACATGGAGTTTGATAGGGGGTGTTCACAGATGTGTGGGGAGAGCAGAGTGAAAATGCTGATGGGGATGAAATAAATGGTTTGATCATCTCTCCATGTTAAAAGTGATGTGTGTCTTTGTGCCCAGTAGTTTCTGAGTAATGAACTTTTCTACTCACTCCATTTTCTCCAGGCTTTCTACAGTTTGCACTAAATGGTGTAATTGAAGCAAACACTTTTTAATTGTGAAAACTTCTTTATGAAGGTGCTGAAGCTGATTGTGTTCCAGGTCAGGTTGACTGGGCCTGAACAACCTGACCCAAAAGGTGCCATCCCTGCCCATGGAATTAGATGATCCTTAAGGTCCCTTCCAACCCAATCCATTCCATGATTGTGTGGGGTGTGTTGATTTTAAGTTAGTTCCTTCACTGTAGCACCCTTTTTGTAAAAAGTCAGCAAACTAAAAGTCAGGAGATGAAATGTCAGTGTTCATTTGCAGCCCACGTTTGTGGATTGTGTTTCCTGTATGCACTCTGAAAATAATGAAAACCCTAAAAAAACCCAGAAATAAAATCTGGTTTCCAAAAAGCCTTTTCAGGGTATGTTTCCTAAGCCAAAGTGTTAAAAACAAACACAAGTGACCCCTCCATCTGCAAGGAGAGGAGCTGTAGTTTGTAATATTGATTCATTTTTTCTTCAGTGGTTAGAGGAAAGCAGGTGGCATGATCCAAAGTGTTTAGTTACAGCCATCCTATACTTGTTATTGGTCACTTGGAAAAACTTAGACTATTTCCAATGAACTTCACAACCTATTTTTATTGCTGGGTACAACAATCAGTCGTTATTCCCAGCTAGCTTACACAGCAAGAAAAACATTTCCAAAACAAACTCTTTCTTCTGTGCAAACATCTGATGTAATTCCCAGGAGTGGATGCAGCAGGTTGGAAATCAGTTCCTTAGACACCAGAGATGCTCTCCAGAGCCTGCTTTATTTCATAGCAGCATTTCACTTCTTTTGCCTGCAAGAATATCTCAGTTTAGCAGGTCCTTGTCCTGCCTAGAGTTACTGGGATGTTTCCCACTGAGATTTCCATTACATCTCCAGGACTGTTGTGCAGCAAATTTCACTTTCAATGCTTTTCTCTGTCATCATGTTGAAACCTTTTTCTGAATTTGAGGTGTTAATTTTTATTCTGTATCATCTTGGGTCACCTAAACCATTATTTAGCTTTTCCCTCTGCTGCCTGTCAGCCACACTAGACTTTTGTGTTTCCCATTTTTAATCATTCTTTATCTTGGTTCTTCTTAAAATATTTCACTTATTCTTTTGTATTTCTGACACTCTGAGCTGTTTGCCAGCAGGTTCCTGCTTAGTGTAACTCTAGAATAATGAGTTTCATATCTATCTTCAAAAAGAAAAAACAAATGAGACAGAAGAGCTTGCAGTCTGTTTTTAATGTTTCCTTTTTAGTTCTATTGCAACATTGTTTCCTTGTCTTTTCTAAGAGATGCAAATTTGTTCTCTGAACATTCAGAGCTTGGTGCAATACAACTGTTCCTTAGGAAGGTTATTTTCAGTGACAGAGGTTTCTTTTTTCCCAAAGTTCAGCTTGTTGAATTCTGCTTTTATTTCCATGATTGATTTTCCCTTGGTCTCAGGAAGATACAGGTAGATGAAAATTGCTGATACAAAAAGGATTCCCAAAAAGATGAGGAAGCAGAGGGGTCCAAGGTTATCCTGCAGGCAGAAATGCAAGACAATGTGAGGAAAATAATAAACTGATTTCTATTTCCCTGCCCTTTAGTGCAAGCCTGTGTCTTAGGAATTTAAATTCAAAGGTGTGCTCAGTGCAGTCTAGGACAGGAACCAACCCAGGAGTTCCCACTGGCCTTGTTGGACCTGAGTCCAATTGCTGCTCCTTGACAAATCTGGGGGTTTCTCAGCAGGTTTGGTGTTTGGACAGTGCTAAGTGTGGGATCTCAGGATCTCAG